TCTCTTGCTCTCCCTCCCGTTTATTTATTTATTTCTCTATTTCTCTCCCTGCGGAAGCGGCAGCCACGCCAGGTTAAAGCCCTGAAACCCGAAGCCCTGAAACCGAGCCGCGTGTCCCCGCCGCTCCCACCCGTGTCCGGCCCCGGCCGCCGTCGGGGGCCCCGACGGACGCCGGCTGCGCTCCGGCCGCCCAGAAGCGACGGTGACGGCCGAGCCCAGGGCGATCAGGAGCAGGGGACGGGGACGAGGAGGGTGTCCCAGGGATTTCCTCCCCTCCCCGGGGAGCCGCTGAGGCTGCCCTTCGCGACAGAGGCACAGAAACGCGGATCCGCCTCGCCCGCGCCGAGGGATGCTCGCCCCGTCCACCCGCGGCAGCTCCGGCGTGGGAGCCTCAACCCGGGTCCGAGCATCCCCTCGGCGCCCCCCCCAAATTCCCCTGACCCCCCCCCCCCCCCGAGCCCACCCCCCGAGCCCGAGGCAGGGTCGCCCCCAGCCCCGGGGAGCCCCGGGCTCTGGAGCCCAAACGGCCCCGGCCGCCCCGTTCTGCATTTTAATACCGAAATCTGGAAGTGGAAATTGTTTGATGTATGAGGAGACGTTATCTAATTAGGGCGTAAGAAATTTAATCTTTCCAGCAGGCAGGTCATATAATTAATGTTAATTTAACGCTCAAATTCTCAGTCATTAATTTTTATTCTCTTAAATGTAGTTTGGCAGGGCCCCCTGATCCATGGCAATGGATTTTACTGGATGTAAGAGCACACTTGGTCTTTGGAGTGAATTACTGCAGCCCTTCCTATCCCAATAACAAGATCACATCATGTATGCATTATTAAGCCATGTAATTGAATGGTCCATAGTTTGCATATCAGACTATTAAAATAATGTGTTTTGCTTTTCTTCCAACACGTAATGTTAAAGCCTTTGCGAATATTTGGTGATTCTGATAATTATCACCAAATTACTACAAATGTTCTCTTCATTAACGTGATTTCTTTCAAGCATTTTTAAAAATGTGAATAATGCATTAAGTGGTGGCTTGTAAAGTGTTTTTTTTTTTTTTTTAAATAAAACTTGTCAACCGCAATTCGAAAATGAGACCGAAAGAAAAAGGAAAAGAAAAAAAAAAAAAAGAAAAAAGAAACTTAACAATTGAACGGGAAGAGAACAGTTGTGCTATGTGATTGGAAAGGACGACTTTTATTTTTCCCTATTTCAGATAAGTGACTGTACACCTTTAAAGTTTCACTCCATCGGGAGCAAAAGTGCATGCAATCTAAAGAACTGCCGATTGCAGACGATACAGAACAGATGGAGGAACAAAGTTGGAGCTTTTCCTTTTGCAGGGAATAGATGGGGACAGAGGCAGACAGACAGAGAGATTGATTTGAAAAGATACTGACCTCTCTCCTTCAGCTGCAATTTAACTTGTCCTGAAAAAAAAAAAAAAAAAAAAAAAAAAAAAAAGGAAAAAAAAACAAGTGAAATCTGCGTCCTCCCCTCCTCCCCGCCCTGCCTGCCTCCTTCCCCCCGCCCCAAGTGCGCGCTGTCAGTTGAACAAACTGCGGCGCCGATCTCGGAAGGTGAATAATTCCCAATTAACTAAGTAACTAACTTTCTTCTTGCCATCTTGAGTCACTCACTTAACTAAATCTTAAGCCTCCGAGAGCCTTCATTATCGCCTTCCCCCCGCCGCACTGTTTTCAAAGTTCAATAGCGAGGCAAAAAAAAAAAAAAAAAAAAAAAAAAAAAAACACTGCTGCAAAATAAGAGTCTCTCTCCGAATTTAAGAGCCGTTCATTTGCATCGGGACAAGCCGGCCCCCCTTCTGCAGATTATTTAGGCACCAAAAAAAAAGAAAAAAAAAAGATAAAAAAAAAAAAAAAGACTGAAAAAAAAAAAAACAAAGCACAAAGGCCCCCCAGCAGCTGGTGGTCAGGAGCGGTGCCACGGATGCTCTGCGGGGCGTGCAGCAGGGCCGGGCTGCGGGAGCCGGGGCGCCCCGCAGCGCTGCGGGACGGCTGCGGGACGGCCGCGGGGCGGGCAGGAGCGGGACCCGCCGGGGCAGCCCCGGCCCCGCTCTTATTTTGGTTGGGAGCGGGCGGCGCGGCCCCGGCTGGAGCGCGGAGGGAGGCGAACTGTGCTCCTCTGTTCGGTTTCGGGTTGGTTGGGCTTTTTTTTTTTTTTCTTCCTTTTTTTTTTTTTTTTTGATTTTTTTTTTCCTCCCCCCCTCCCCGCTCTCTCTCTCTCCTCACTATAGCAACCAACGCCAGGCTGGCAAAAATGCACCCTCTGTGGACAATGGCCCGGCCTTCCTGCTCGCCTCGCTCCTCTTCTTCCTCCCCGAGCCAAAGAAACTTTCCAGACCCCCCCCCGGCCCCTCCTGCATCTCCCCCGGGGCAGGCTCCAAGAGCAGCCCCACCGGCACCGGGCCGGGCCCGGGGAAGGCAGGAGTGGGGTCCCCAGCCGGGCTGCGGGTGCTTTGGGGGGGCTGCCCCCATTGCACCGGGCTGAGGATGCTCTGGGGGGCTGCTGCGGTCCCCGGTCCCCCCAGGGTGTCCCCAGCCATGTCCCGTGCTGGGTGGTGAGGGAAAGCCCGGTGGCACCCCCAGGCTGGGCATCCCCTCGGCCTGGAGGCGAGCAAGGCGCTGGAGAGCCCTGGGGGTGTTTGGGGAGGGAGAGGAGCCACCTTCTTCCTGCCGCCAGCCCAGCTCGACCCCAAAAACTGGAGAGGGCCGGAGGGGGCCAGAGGGCCGTGCCCCCGGGCGCTTCGGCTGAGCCCTTCCCGGGGCGCTGCTCGCCTCCACCGGCCGCGATCGCTGCAGGAAAGAAGAAAACAACCATTAGCTGCATCGCCCAGGGACGGGGAGCTTGCTCTCGCTTTTATTTCTATTTTCTACACGTTGTCCCGCACAGCTCCCCGGTGCGGGCTTTGGGAAGTGCCCGCTGCAATCCCCTTTGCCTGCCGGAGGGGCTCGGCCGCCTCCCCTCGCTCCTCTCCACCTGCTCCTGGGCCAGCCCCAAAAGCCCCGTCGTGGGGCGCTCCTTTAGCGGCCGGGCGCTGGGAAAGTAAAAGGCAAACTCCAATCGCGCCCGGGTCTGGCTCCGAGGATTCAATAAACAAGCCGCATTAACTCCAGCCAGAATTTATCTCGTAGACTGATGGAATTTGTCTTTTTTTTTTTTTCTTTTCCCTCCCCTCCTGCTTCTTCTGCTTCTTTTTCCCCCCAAGGCCTCATATTCTCCACTCAAAATTTCGCAGCCTTCCTTTGATAAATTACTCAAAGTAATCCCTGCACCAGCCAAGTCTGACTGGTTGACGTTGTGTTAGAAGTCTTCATAGCGGTGCCTGTCTATAAAATATTCACTTGCGGACTACAAAGGGTGGATCATTTTTAATGACAAGATTCAGAACTGGAGGATGAAGGGAAAAGATTAATATCCGTGAATTCAAATAATTTAATTTCAAATGCCGAACTTAGAGCATTATACCCTACCAGTTTAAACAGCAATGCAGATAAAATAGAAGAGTCTCGGGTGAATGAAGTGGCCGGAAGAATAGAGTTGCGGGGAATGCTGGAAATGAGCCTTCGTGCAAACTTTGCGGGAACTTTTTTTTTTCTTTTCTTTTTTCTTTTTTTTTTTTTTTAATTCCACACCTTTCTATCTTCTGGGATAACCGGTATTCTAGCGGGGCAAAAAATACAGCTGATATTCCGTATGTGAGCGTGCAGATACATGTGTGTATATATATATATATATACATTGTACGTGCGGGGAGATTTTCCTCCGTCTCGAGATAGGTGGGGAAATCTATTTGGACGGCGGATTTTAATTTCAATGGGTAATGTGAGCTCGTGCAATCAAAGTTATCAATTTCTGTCCTTTTTGTTTAGATTTCTTAGTTAAATGTGTTTGTTATATCTACCCCGAGGAGAAGCAACTTGAAAGTGTAGCTTTTGAGTCATCTTATAAATACATCCCTGAGGCTGCGGTTCTTGCAGCTTTAAGCAGTTTTCATTAAAGCAGCCAGCTGCCTCTTTGTGTAGATTGGATTTTTTTTTTTTTTTTTAAGAAACAAAAAAAAAAAAAAAAAAAAGCAATCACTTGTGAAGCCCCGGCCTCAGTTTTGTCTCTCCGCAGGCCCTTAAAGTTGAAGTTTCATTCATGCCTCGGGTCTGGCCGCCGAGGCAGCCTTCCTCGGAGGAGCAGCGGGCTGGCGAGAGCCACACGGGGAGTGCGGGCTCGCCTGCTTCACAGGGCAAGGTTAAAAGGGAGGCAGAGATCAAACCGCCCCCGGCTCACAAAAGGTGCATTAAACGCGCCCCGGCGAGGAGCGCGGAGCTGCCGAGCCGCCCCCCGCGGCCAGCGCCGGGAGCCCGGCTCCGGGGGGGCTCGGCCGCTTCCCCCTCACCCCTTTTCCCCTCTCCCGACCCCGGGGGGTGTCCGGGGACCCCCGCGAGGTGCTCGTGGCGGTGGCGGAGGCACCAGGCAGGGCGGGCAGCCCGGAGCGTGCCCGGGGGCCGCAGCGCACCGAGACGCCGCACGGGGATAAAGCCCCGGGGATGGAGCGGGGATGGAGGGGGGCGGCTCACGGCTGCCTCCCTCACACCGCCGGCACCGGGATGGGGACGGGGAGCGGGGCCGGGACCCGCTGCCCCCGCTCCGCCTCGCCAGGCGCTGCCCGCGCAACAGGAGCCGTTACCGGGCGGGCCCGGGGCGGGGCGGGGCGGGGCGGGGGCGCGGAGCTCCTCACCCCTCGCCCCCCCCCCCCCCCTGCCCGCCCGCCCGCCTCTCGCTCCGGGCCCGGCCCCGCCGCCGCCCCCGTTCCCCCTCAGCGCCGGGCGGGCGGGGGGCGGGCGGGGGGCGTGGCGGGGGCGGGCCCCGGCGGCGCGGCGGGGCCAATGGGGCCGCGCGGCGGCGGCGGTTGCCAGGGGCGCCCGCGTCCGTCAGGCGGCGCGCGGCCAATGGGCGGCGGCGGCGGGGCGGGGCGGCCGCGCGTGCCTTCGCAGTGGGCCCCGCCGCCGCGCGGGCCGGGGGGGCGCGGGCGCCGCGCGGCGCCCGAGGCGCAAAAGTAGCTGTCAAATGCGCGGCGCCTGTCCCCGGCGCGCTCAGTGCGGCGCGGCGAGTCATGGCGACCGCAGCCTCCAACCACTACAGCCTGCTCGCCTCCGGCTCGCCCATGGTGCACGCCGAGCCGCCCGGCGGCATGCAGCCCGGCGGCGGCTACCGCGACGCGGGCGCGCTGGTGCAGGCGGACTACGCGCTGCAGAGCAACGGGCACCCGCTGAGCCACGCTCACCAGTGGATCGCCGCGCTGTCCCACGGCGGCCCCGGCGGGCCCGGCGGCGGGGGCGGCGGCGGCGGCGGCCCCGGCGGAGGCGGCGGGGGAGGCGGCGGCGGCGGCGGCGAGGCGCCGTGGGCGGCGGGCGCGCTGGGCCAGCCCGACATCAAGCCGGCCGTGGTGCAGCCGGGCGGGCGCGGCGACGAGCTGCAGCCGCCGCCGCCGCCGCCGCAGCACCCGCCGCCGGGCCGGGCGCCGCACCTGGTGCACCACGGCGGCGGCGGCGGCGGCGGCGCCGGGCACCACGCGGCGGCCGCGGCGGCGGCGGCGGCGGCGGCGGCGGCGGCGGCGTGGCGGGCGGGCGGCGCGGCGCACCTGCCGCCCGGCATGGCCGCGGCCAACGGCGGGCAGGCGGCGGGGCTGCTGTACTCGCAGCCGCCCGGCTTCACCGTCAACGGCATGCTGGGCGCCGCGCAGCCCGCCCTGCACCACCACGGGCTCCGCGACGCGCACGACGAGCCCCCCGGGCCGCCCCCCGGGCCCCCCGGGCCGCCGCACCACGGCGCCGAGCACGGGGGGCCGCCCCCGCCGCCGCCGCCGCCGCCCCACGGCCCGCACCCGGGCGCCGCCGGGCCGCCGCCGCCGCCCGCCGCGCCCCCCGGGGCGCCGCACCACGAGGCGCACTCGGACGAGGACACGCCGACGTCGGACGACCTGGAGCAGTTCGCCAAGCAGTTCAAGCAGCGGCGGATAAAGCTGGGATTTACCCAAGCGGACGTGGGGCTGGCGCTGGGCACGCTGTACGGCAACGTCTTCTCGCAGACCACCATCTGCCGCTTCGAGGCCCTGCAGCTGAGCTTCAAGAACATGTGCAAGCTGAAGCCTTTGTTGAACAAGTGGTTGGAGGAGGCGGACTCCTCCTCGGGCAGCCCCACCAGCATAGACAAGATCGCGGCGCAGGGCCGCAAGCGGAAAAAGCGCACCTCCATCGAGGTGAGCGTCAAGGGCGCGCTGGAGAGCCACTTCCTCAAGTGCCCCAAGCCCTCGGCCCAGGAGATCACCTCGCTGGCGGACAGCCTACAGCTGGAGAAGGAGGTGGTGAGAGTGTGGTTTTGTAACAGGAGACAGAAAGAGAAGCGCATGACGCCCCCGGGAGGGACGCTGCCGGGCGCCGAGGACGTGTACGGGGCCAGCAGGGACACGCCGCCGCACCACGGGGTGCAGACCCCCGTGCAGTGAACTCGCGGCGGGGGCGCCCGGCCCCTCCTGCTCCTCCTCCTCCTCCTCTCCTCCTCCTCGTCCTCCTCCTCCTCTCCTCCTCCTCCTCTTCCTCTCCTCCTCCTCTCCATCCTCCCCCCCAACTTTTGATCGTCCTCCTTATCTTATTATTATTTTTTTTTAATTTGCTCCCGTCTTTCAAAAAAAAAAAAAAAACGCGCAAAAAAAAATAAGAAAAAAAAAATAACAAAACGAAACAAAACAAAAAAAAAAATAAGCGAGAGAGAAAGAGAGAAAGAGAGAGAGAGAGAGAATCAAAGCAGACAAAGCACCTGCACCGGACTGTCCCTTAGACGGCAGCAGGTGCGGGGCGGTGTTTTGACCTTCCCGTGCGCTGCAGCGCAGTGAGTATCGCGCCCAGGCCGGCAGGGCAGGGGCGAGCAGGGGGCTCCGCTCCACGCCGGCCCAAAATTTGCGCCCTGCCCTGGCCCTGGGGGTGGCCCTGGGGGTGGCGAGGACGGGGGTGGGGGGGGGGGGACACGGGGAGGGGGGGTGCGCAGCAACCTCGCGGGTCCCCCGGAGCCCCCCCCCCCCCCCGACACAAAAGGCAGGTGGCATCGCGGACCGTCGCTCGGGGTTGGCACATGCTGCTGTGTTTATTTTCTGTGGATCCCCTGTAGGAATGAGTATGTGAAAAGGAAGAGAAAAGCGAAGCTATCCCTTTTGATGTAGGCAGTATTTAACCGTACCGATTTGCACTGCAAGGAAATCGAAGTTTACATAAACAGATTCATTTTGTTTTCTTCCTTTCCCACCTTAGTTTTGAAAATGACTTGCATTTTCCACGGTGAGCGTTAGTCGACCAGTGACCGGTCCACGATGTGTTACTGTGTTCTAGCCTTTGCTTTATGTGTATAATGTGAACTTTTGTTATAAACCAGTCTTCTTAAATATGTGTAATGCTTATTTTCTCCTTTTGCTGCAGCAGGAAGAGCGCATATATCTGTATGTGTGCCTACGTACGCACGCCTGCCTGTACGTACATGCAGACACATATATGTGCAATATATAATATATATATAAGATGCATATATATATATATATATATATCTGCGCACCGCCAGCTCCCTCTCTCCAGGGGCTTGGCTCTCCCAGACGCTCGCTCAGAGGCGACTTGGGAGAAGGGAGAAGGGAGCCGACAAAGTAAACTTCATTTTCAGGCAGTGTTTGCGGGGGTCGAGGCGGGGGGGGAAGAGCTGCTCGGCCCTCCCAGCTTGTTGCGGCAGGGGCGAGCAGGGCCCATTGTGGAGGAGCTCCGGGAGGTGAAACCACACAGTTCATTTCCAGAGTTTTCCCGGAGAAAGTGGCGCTCCCTGGAGAGGGAAGGGGGGGTCCTTTAGGCCTCCCCCGGTGGCAGGGTGCCGCCAGCCCCCCCAGCCTTGCCCCCGCAACTGGGGGTGCGGTGCTGGGGGGGCCCACGCAGCGTGTCTGGGTCCCACCCGCGTGGGAACACGGCCCTGTCCCCACGGCCCCTCGCCCGTCTTTTTGCTGCGCTGCCCCTTCTTTATTTTTCTGTTCATCCCCAGCCACCCCCCCCCCCTCCACCTCCACCACCGCCACCTCCTCCGGTCGGGTTGCGGAGTAATTTATTGGACGAAAAGACCAGTTTAACTCGGGCAGCCTCGTGTCTTTCACTGGGGAATGAAGTGAAGTGGAAAGAAATGCCATTTTCAATTCGTCTTCTCCCCCCCTCCCTCCCAACCCGCCCCCCTCCCCGATAACAGTTTTAAAGTGCATTTCGTGGCATTACCCTGATGGGAAACGGTTAACTTTCCAGAAAGAAAAAAAAGGAAAAAAGAAAAAAAAAAAAGAGAGAGAGAGAGGGAGAGAGAGAGAGGGAAACCCACGGGGAAAGCAAAACAAAACAAACAAAACAAAAAGCTCTGAAGAGAAGCATAGGAGTGGGAACTCGGAGCAGCCTATGTATGTGTGCGCGTGTGCCTCTGTGTTTATGTACTTATGCACACGCACAGCCATACATATACATTAGAGGAACTTTAAACTATGATAGTTATAAATTCATAAAGGGATCATTTAGTCAGCACGAATGGGTGCTATATAGGCAAAACATTTTTATAAGCTAAAAGTTTACTTAGGTGAGTGTTGGACAATTATGGAGAAAAAAACACGGAAGCGTTCTCTTGCAGAGAATCATATAAATATTGCATTCAGTAGCTAAGGCTTTAGACTACGTTTCTCATTGTCTTTTAAAGCGCCTGTGACATTTGGTTTTCTTTCTTTCTTTCTTTCTTTCTTTCTTTCTTTCTTTCTTTCTTTCTTTCTTTCTTTCTTTCTTTCTTTCTTTCTTTCTTTCTTTCTTTTCTTCTTGGCAAGACAGATGATGATTTCTAAGAGGCACATGCAGTAGCCTTTTTCCTAGTTTTCCAACAATCGTTACAAAGATACGGGCACCGAGCTTTTCTCTTTTCTTTTTTCTTTCTTTTTTTTTTTTTTTTTTGGGTGTATTGAGCTGCTTGTTATTTAAAGTGTTGAGGACTAGCGCCTAGTGAAGTGAATCAGATCAGGGCAGATCCAGTGGTAAAGGGAGGAAATGAACTTTCAGACGCTTATTAATATGTGTGTAAGGTCAGAAAACGGAGTCTAGAGAAGGTTTGAGAAAAGCCTCAAACTCCAAATAGGTTTACTAAAAAAAAAAAAAAAAAAAAAAAAAAAAAAAAAAGTTACCACGCAAACCTTACCACTATGTATATATGTTTAATATTTGTCCTTTGAAATGCAGAAATAGTTTCAATGTTTTCTTTGTCTATTTTTCTTTTCCTTTTTTTTTTTCTTTTTTTTTTTTTTTTAAATGCTACCCAGGGAAATATTTTCATATCATTTTTAAGTGGCCTGCCTCAATGTATATTTATTTCTTTCAAAGCAAACAGGTTCTGGAAACTGTTTTTCTGTAGCTTTAAATGAGTAGGTGAACAAAATCTATATGGGATGTAATTTTTTTTGGTTCAGTCTCTTTAAAAAAAATACTTTGTTTTGGTACATTTGGATGTGCTTGTGGGGAAAAATAAAAACGCAGAGATCCTTATATATTTATGTTAAAGTAATATTTTATTATCTACATAAAACAGAAATGCACAATACCTTCATAGTTTGTTCTAATTATTGAAATATCTTTATTTTATTTTTAAAGATAGCACAGATTTGCAAAGCTCTTAAAATTTGGAGGGAGAACGCCCCAGTACTTATACACTGAGCTGAGTTCTGTGTAAAGCGCCGCCGTTCCTTTATATCTCATGGAATTTTGGAATAAATTTTATGCCTATACCGAGAGGTTCCACGTCCCTGACTTGCCGGGCTTTGGCGGAGGGCAGCGGGGGCTGTGCTCGCTGCGTGTCCCCGCGGATGACCGCAGCAGCGGGGCTCCAAGCGTTTGGTTTTTGGGGCGCGCAGGGGGGCCCTGCCCCTGGTGCTGGCACCGAGACCCGCTCCTCGGCTTGGTCGCAGCCCTATGCTCTGCCTGCAGGCTCGGCCCAGGAGAGAGCCGCTCTCCTCTGCTCCTTGCCCTTTGACAATTTAAGATCGGGCTCCTAAAAAATGGAAAAAAAGAAAAAAAAAATTAAAAAGAAGGGAAGAAAAGAGGGGAAAGGCGGAGCTTCCCTACGGGGGAGCACTGTCGAAAGCCGGGGAGCGGGGCCGGCGGCCCAGGCTGCGGCAGGCGGGCGGTGCTGTGGCTGTACCTAGGGATAACTGTGCTGCCGGGCCGAGCCTTGCCGAGCCTTGCAGTGCCTTGCCGAGCCGTGCCGGGCCGGGCCGGGCCGGGCCGTGCAGGGCCGGCTGCGAGCGGCCGGAGCCGGGCGTTGCGCCGCGGGGGTGCCGGCGTCGGGGCGGGCGCGCCGGGGAGCGGAGCGGGGTCCTGAGCGGGGACAGGCGGGGTGCTGAGACCTCCGGGGCTCGCTCGGTGCCAGGAGGACGGAGTCCCGCTGCCCCCACCCCGGCGGTTTCCGCGATAGTTTCGAGGCTTATTAGATTTAATCATCTTTCCTAACTCCTAGTCAATATCACGCTCATCCCGAACAGATTCAGCTAAATGATCTTATCAATAGTTTCGAGGAGAAGTGACAGAAAGAAGAAGTGTTTTGCGACCGCAGACGTGCTGACGGGTAAAATGTTTAAGCTGGCTATGGATTTGAAGCCCTCGGTCAATATCCCGCCGGATTGCCTGCGGAACGCGAGCAGCCTCTGCCCTCTGCAGGACACTTCGGGGGGCCCGGAGGGAGCCTTGCGCCTTTGACAGCAGGGCCCTGCTGGCTGCGAGCAGGGGCTGGCCGGGACGGGAAGAGCCTCTCCCGGCGGGATAGCCCCTTCCAGGAGCCGGGGGCAGGCCCGAGGCCGCGGGGATGGGCGCCGGGGCGGGCTCGGGGCAGCGCCCGCAGGGATGCTCCTGCCCCGGGGAGCGGAGGGCAGCGGCTGGCTCGGGTGTGCTGCCCGGGAGGGTAGGCCGGCCGGGCTGTGTGTGCGGGAGATGCTTTTGTCTCCTCTCTTTGTATTATTTTTTTTTCCCTTCCTTTTTAAGAGAAAGGGGAAAAAAAAAATAAACGGAGCGGCCGCAGGGCGCACTTTCTGCAGGTGGATGTCGGGGTGCGCGGCAGCGAGCTGGGCTCGGGCACGGCCGCTCCTGGCAGAGCCTCCCCTCCCTTCTTGCTGCAGCTCCGCTGCCGACAACAAAAGCCCGGCGCCCTCGGCTCGCTCCCTCCGACGGAGGCCGAAGGCGGGAGGCGGCTGCGTGTCCCCAGGGCCGTGCATCGCGGCTCCGGCTCGGCACAGCAGAGCAGGGACGGGGGGGGCTGTACATAACCAACAACCCCCTCCCACAAGGGCTGCTGCCTCCCCAGGTTAAACTTTGCAGAGCCCCGACGGGGAAAGAAGCGGCCCCGGTCGCCCCCCGCCGCCTTTCCCTCGCCTTCGGGTTTTGCTGGAGGATGCTCGGGGGCTGTGTGACCCCCCCCGGCTCTCGGTCTGGGATGGGGCCTGGCTGCTCCCGCAGCCCCCATCCCCAGCCTGTCGCCGTCCCCATCCCTCCTCCGACCCCCCTGTGGGGCACGAAGCCCCCCGAGGTCTTCCCGAGCCACGTCGGTGGGGCTGCTGCGGCTCTTTGTTCTGGTGCTGGCTGCGCGGGGCTGCTCCTCCTGCGGGAGGGAAGAGAGGAAAGGAGAGGAGGAAGCCCCCCAGGGGGCGAGGAGGTCGGGAGAGGGGTTT